CTGCTGCCGGGAGTCTAGACAGGGGCAGAAATCAGGAGGAAGAGGAGGCGGCGGCAGCGATGGGGGGAGGAGGAGGAGGATGTGAAAAACTGGACTCCAGTTCTCCCACTCCTAGGTACCGCATTGGCCTGTCTAAGAAATCCCCTACAGTACTGTTGCTGCCAGCACCGCTCACAGACGTGGACAGCAGTAAAATCACTGACCCTCCAGGCACCATTAGGAAAACGACCAATAATCATATTCTCAGCCGTGCTGCTGGTAGCTATAATGTTGAATCCAGGATCTATACAGCTACTAATAGCCTTCCCCCGGGTGGAACCACCTCCTCCCTTAGACTCAACCACTCCAATCATACGGGTTCAAATCATACCTACCTGAAAAACACCTACAAGAAGAATCTCTCAGAGCCCGAGGAGGAGCTTCTCCAGCAGTTCAAAAGAGAGGAGGTATCCACCACTGGAGGCTTCAGTGCACATTACCTGTCCATGTTCCTCTTAACTGCTGCATGCTTGTTCTTTCTGATACTGGGATTCACATACCTGAGAATGAGAGGTTCTGGAGTAGCTGAGGATGTAGAAGTCAACAGTAAGTATTAGGTCAAGGGTAAGAGCAGTTTCTTTCCGCAGCTGGATATATTGCTGTTAATTCTATTTTGTACTCCCAGGCATACCTTATTGAGCAGTTCTGAGTCCTACTTTGATATAATCTTCCTATGTAGGACAGAGCACAGAGAAACTGACTGGTGTTCCTTAAGTGGTATGCTAAGCTCGCAAGACAGCTGAGGATAAACCCAGACTCCTGGCCATTCCCTGCTATACTATGTTTTCGTGCATGTTTTCTTTTTCTTCACAGAGCAATTTCATGTGTTTTGCTCAATATAGCAGATGTAGACTCAGTAGAGAATCAACGAGGTAAAGCTTTATACTAATCTCACAGTAACAGTCATGCACATTTGGCTGTCTGGGATTCCTGCAGGGCTAAGATTTGACTGTAATTGTACAGTAGTAAAGCAGGTTATTTTCGTTTGTGTATATTAAGGCTTGAAAAGAATGCTGGGTTTAGATGATGCTATACATTTAAAGATAAACTTACTGCAGTGAATGATGGAACTGTCATATATTGTTTTCTAATGCACTCTTTTTTTTTCTAAATTTAGATGAAAATGTGACTATATGTGCAGAGCTTTGGTTTGAATTATGTATATATATATATATATATAGCATGCTTTAATTTTGGGGGGCTTTAATACATGGAAGCAACTTCTTGGGACAGCTTTAGAAACTACCATTTTCTATTCACAAAACATACAAAAATGGAAGTGTACCACCTAAGGATGGTGACTCATGCTAAATCAATTTTTGGCTTCTCTGAAATGGACAGTGGCATTTCTAGTATCAGAAAGAAAAATCATATCATTGCTGTCTTAATTTCTCATGAGCAACCTTCAACAAGAGTGCAAAGGGCTAGTCTTGAGATGTGAAAGTGTTAGATGGCCATTGAGGACTTGCATTGGTTTTGAAATGATAATTGTGGAAGGTATGTGGGGGTATGTGTTTCTTTCAAAAGATAGGAGGGTTGTATACAAGTATACAGTGCCTTGTGTGAAGCAGTTCCACTCACTGTTAGATTGGGGCTTTTTAGCGCTGCTGTGTTATTTATCAGAACTTCACAGGGACCTACCAGGACCGTCAGCTCCAAGACTAGATGATACAGGGCAGAAATAGGGGTTTTTTTTGTTCTTGTTTTCCCCTTTTAAACTTTATTTATTGCATTGTAATAGTAGAATAGCTTTTGATTCTGTTTTGCCCTCTTCTGTGGGGGAGGGAAGGGTTTATTGTTTAGGAAAGACAGTAGCAGCAAGAACTTTGTGTTTGGCACAGTTCCACTGCTGTCCACACGGCTCTTAAATAACTACAATAAGGCTCTTCTTGTTTTTTTTGGGAAGGTGGCGAACACATGCAGGTGGACTGAAATAGATAGAGTACAGTCTGAGTATTGGGGCTATTCTTACTGGTCTTCTGTGGTTAACTTCTGACCATAACTGCTAGAGACATAAATAGACCTTCTTACAAAGCACTGATGAGCTGTGCAATTCCCACTAAAGGGTATTGGATTTTTTTTTCCCCTCTAATCTTAAATTCTGATGATTTTAGTGGGGAAGGTCTTTCAGCCTGCTGGGGTAAATTTCCTAACTGTCACATTCAGCAGGTGATTTAAAACTTGTCTGCCATGCTGTTTGATTAATCTCAGTGGCTATGCAGTTAGCAATACTACTGTGGGGGGAGGGACAAAAAAATCTACTCCGAACTCGTCTTAGGGAAAAAAAACTTTGTTTTGAAGATGTGAACTTTCTTACAGGGTATGTCAAACCACTGTACTGAGTATATTGCTCATAAAAAGTTAACTCAGTTGGAACTGATAAATGAGGAAAATTATTCTCTTCTACCCCTTTGCTTAGGTTAAGCTGCCCCACCAAACATCTGGTAGTCCTGTGTTGCTTGGCAGTTCCATTAAGCTAGTTCATGGCCTTGCTCCTGCTCATTCTCTTTTCAGTTGGACTCTTGAAAGTGGATTCCTGAAGAACTGTTTGAACAGTGGCACTCACCTTTCAGCTGCCCTCTTTTCTCACAGCCTTGAGCTTAGTCACATAACAAACGGGAACTGAGCAGAACAGGGCCCACTGGAAGAAGGAAACAGAAATTTTTGTGGCAAGCTCCTGGTGTAGTATATAGGAGCAGGGCTTTTCCCCCCTTCTGCCCCTTCATAGTACAGTAATGAGCAGGAATTTATCTGGCACATATGCAAAAAAACCAGATAGGTCTGTAACAGGCAAGAATAGACAAGACAGGCCAAAGAAGACTGGTTACTACTACTAGTTTGAGAGGAAATCCATCTTCTGTTAGATGCTTCCCCAAACTTAGTTACACTCACAGAAGTGTAAGTGTATTATCTGTTTTTCTCATAGAAGCAGAACTGATTCATACATTTTTACTAAAATAATAATGTATCTGAAGAAACCATCTTTCAATTAGGTAACTGAACACTTTTTTCCCCTTTGCCTTTTAAAGATGAGATGCAGTTGGTTGAGGGTGGATGCTAAGTTTGATTATGAAAAACTCAAGTTATGTTCAACTTGAAACTGTTATCATAAAAGATTCTGCGATTCAGTGGACTTGCAGTATATGTGCCTCCTGAATTACCACAGTTATTATGACAAAACAAAAAGGCTAATGTTTGTGTGTTTGGGGTGCTTCTCATTTTTCTTTTCCGGGGGAAAAAAGTGAAGCACAGTGATCGTAGTGCTGATTGTCCTAATTGGTTTCATTTCATTTTAGGAAATGAACAAAATAATCAATGTGTCACATTCAAAATATCTTAATATTAATCACCAAGTACACCCAATATTAGCACTTACAGTATTTGTCGGGTTGTAATCTGACAGCAATCTCAAGATGCTTGTGATGAAGGAGGCTTGAAACTAGGTGTTGAGATTGAATTTAAGCTAGGTAGAATGATATGGATGAAAAGTGACAACAGGAAATTGTTTTGTAAAGGGTTGTCACATATAATGCATAATCTGCAAATGATTTCTTATTCAGAGTTCTACAATAGCTATGAAGAACTTTAGCTTTTGCATTCCTGGGATAGAAAATGTTGAAAGAAATCAGAATTGGACTATTTCTTCTGTGTATAACCTGTGTATCATCACTTGAGCTAAAGTGTGTTTTTATGCATTTAAGTGATTAATGTACAAATAAATGTCAACGGGGCTTTCCCAAAAGCATCTTAAGCCATTGAAATAAGTGACTATTTAATTTCATGTGAAAGGCTAACTGCTTGAGCATATCTTGAAGTGCGTGCTATCTCTGACAGTGTTGTATGTGACAAAGATCAGTTTGGGCTTGGTGTTGGTAACCTCATTCACGTGACTCTTGCTGTGAGCATATGTCACTCCAAAATATATATCTCACTCGTGCCTTCAGAATACTGTATAAGTGTATGTATTACTTGCAAAGCAAGCATAGTGTTCATCCCCTCCGTCCCCCAAGGAAAAGAGCAGATTTTGACTTTTGTCTACTTGCTAGGGTTCTTCAAATCTTGAAGAGTCAGGTATCCCTTCTTATTTGGGTGGCTGGAAAATTCACTTCAATTTTGATTTCCTGTACATAGATCTGAATTGAGGAATATGATGTTTTCTGCTTTCTCTCACAGGGAGGCATCTGCGTTGCTTCATTTCTTCTTGATGCTACTCTGAGCATCTCAAGTGGCTGTAGGTGCTTCTGGGAATTATCTTTAAAGCTATTTTCCATGGAAAGTTGATACCAATATCAGATCAGTAGGCATACTGCTTTTAGGTTTCGTATACCTTCTAAAGGATTAGGGTGCTAGAACAGGTGCTGTTCTAAGGTTATAGTCTAAAATTGACTGGAGTTAAGTTACTCTAACGGTGCCCGCTCCAATACTTTGTCTGAGGAGCAATTTTTGTAGTATTTTTGTGGGTTTTTTTAATACGTGTATAAATATGTATATGTATGTGTATTTTAAATGTCTGGTGTTTCAAAGCTCCTCTTAGAACTTTCAGGTAGTTCTTGTTTAATATCTTAGATCCTTTTTTAGGAGAGATTTTTGGAAGTGGCCTCTCTAGCTAGTAATCTTGTTTTTTCCATGAAACTTGTTACAAAACAACTGCTAGAAGGATAATCCTTAGTAGATCTGCTACAATTTGTGTTTTTAAAATGTTAATTTAGGGAACTTTTAGTAGTCGCTTATATTGCAAGTGGAAGCTTGTGCTTAGTATGCAAAGCACAATTTTAAGACCTTAATTCAATTCCATAGATGTTACTTTCTTCTAGCTTCATCTCTCAGACTTTAAAACTTATATGGACTTTTATAGGGAGAACTTCATAGCTAAGAAATTAGACTTGCTGCACACAAGGCAATAAAAGACATGGATGTTAACTTTCTTATAATGGCAGCTGCAAATTACTATTACAGTGTTTTAACAGTTATCTGTGAAATACCACAGCTCTGCCTGCCTTCTGTGACCATCCTCTCAGAAAAGTCTTCCTTCCTGACAGTATTGGCTTCAATGGGAAACATCCAAAATCTGGATAAGGCATGCTTACAGAAGAGGAAATAATAAAAAGAGGAAGCAAAACTACAGATTCAGAGAGCTGGTGTTGTGTGGCTATTAATGTTGCCTTTGCTTCGGTGGTAGCACTCTGACTTATATTTGACAATATATATTTGACAACTTCTTCTGTTGACATACTAACACGTAGCTCTGTTTCACTTTCTCTATATTGCTTTAAAATCTAGTCAGCAATTACTTCTATTATAGGTGATTCAAAAGAAAGTCTTGATGTGCATCTTAGACTAATCTCTGTTGCAGCTGGCCTCAATTAGACAAACTTCTGTGATTTGAGTTTTGGATCGAGATCCATGTATCCAAAACCAACCAAACAAAAAAACCAACCCCCCTCCTGACCTTTTTTATAAGGAAAAGTGACACAGAGTAACTACTTTTCTTTGGGATTCTTGACCTTTTTAAACTCTAGTCTTCCTTATGATGCATCAAAAATAGC